ATTATATATATTTATTACATAAATTTATAAATTATCATTGTTTTCTCTATATATACTGGGCAACATTAATGCAACACCTGTTCACTCTGCAAAAATAGGCAAATTTCAAGATACAATAACTTCGTCAAAAATTGTCGTATCGGGATGTTTTAAAAACCATTTTACAGATTGAAACGTCTACTTTTCAGATCGCTACTTAAAAAACAATCTCATGAAAATTTCATAAAGATTACACAAACAAATAAAGATATAAAATCTCAAAATTTTTTACAAAATTTACGGAGTAAACTAAAAATTGTATACAAATGCGATTTACATCATTCGAAAGAGCGAATCTTTACCTTTAATTTACTTTTTTAAGAAGCTCCGTGCAATTTTTTTTCATCGAGTTATTCAACGTTGAAACAAAAGGATCATTTTTGCTTGAACGTTGAATAACTCGATAAAAAAAAATCGTACGGAGCTTTGTAAAAAAGTAAATTAAACGTAAAGATTCGCTCTTTCGAATGACATAAATCACATTTGTATACAATTTTTATACCACTCCGTAAAGCTTCGCAAATTTCATAAAAAATTTGGAAGTCTGGTATCTTCATTTATGTTTGTGTAACTTCATGAAATCTCCATGAGACCATTTTTTTAAGTAGCGATCCGAAAAATAGAGGTTTCTACCTGTAAAATGTTTTTTTAAACATCTCGATACGACAATTTTTGACAAGTTATTGTATCTTGAAATTTGCCTATTTTTGCAGAATGAACAGGTGTTGCGTTAATTTTGTTGCCCAGTGTAATTTTAATTGTTTAAGACATGTTTCAATTTATCGATATCTCTTTATAACTTCAATTTGACGATATTTTTTATTATTCTATTTAGTTAATCCACCAATATTATTTATTATTCTATTTAGTTTATATCCACCAATATTATTAAGGACGCACGTACAACTGTCTTATATAATTTGGCATCATGCTACATCTATAATACTGCTAGAAATTTTCTTTTACTTATACTGACTACCCTTTCTCGTTGTTAACCGATGAATTGATTTGGATTAATGATTCATCATTACTTCTCGTCTATTATTCGACAAATTTGACTAAATATAATACGATTGCGTTATACCGTCTATTGTAAATCGAAAGTGAGATGATCCTCATAATATGTTAATTTAATTTTGATATACAGGTATGAGGTAATTATATTTTCAACAGCTGATGTATGTGTGAAGACTAATAAGGAGAGGCTACGCTCTGCTCTTCACTGATTTTGAGCAAACTTGCAATGTTAGAGGAACCTACCAAATGAACACCTGTAAAGCCGTTTCCGTTAGTGGGGCTTAGAAGACGAGTAATGAGCATTTAAAAATATACCAAAAAATCTGAAAATAGTCTAATATTATCTCAGA